TCTACAGGTAGCTTTTGGTCCTTAAGAGCGCACCAGCTTTCACGAGCCACTAATAAGTTAGTGAAACAAGAATAACCTATTCTGAAGCCGTGCTGCTTCTCCGAGAGGATCCGGTTTTTATCGAGATACTTAAACAGCTCTTCCCTAATAATCTTTTCTAATATTTTAACAACCACACTAGTTAGGCTAACGGGGCGGTAGTTTTCAGGTTTGTGTTTCGTACCTGTTTTGAAGACAGGACTTACTATGGCGTTTTTCCAATCTTTCGGTAAGCGACCCTGCGTAACGGATAGGTTAAAGCATGTACTTAAAGGGCTTGCAACGAAGTTAGATAATTCCTTTAGTAGCCTAGGATGTAATTCATCGGGCCCCGTGGATTTACCTATATCAAGCTTATTTAGCAGACCAAAGACATCGAGTTCTTTAATGGTCACGCTATCCAGTTTATGTGTGGGGGGATCTGTATACGCTGACGAGAAGGGCGCTTCTATGGTATACACGTTGCTAAAGTAGTTCGAGAACGCTTGAGCCTTACCAAAGTCGTCCTCCACTAATGATGAAGCAGTACTGTCTCCCCATAGAGCAGGAATATTTCCTTTTCTCCTTGTCCTTTGGTTTATATAGGAATACAAGCGTTTAGGACATTCTATGGATTCCTTTACAAGTTTTTCTTCGTACAATTTTCTAGACTTACGGAGGGTCGAGGCACAAGTGTTCCGAGCCTTTCGATACTGAGATTTTGCCTCATCAGTCCCCAGTAACCTAAATCTATCCCACATCTTCCTTTTCTTACGGAGAAGAATACGGACCTCCCTACTGAACCATGGTGGAGAGTTTTTCGGTCAATTTGGTATAGTGCAAGGGATGTGAGGTGTGGTAACTTTTAAGTATGAATTTCGAAATGCGTCCCAGGCCGTTTCAATGGAGGACTCTGGGTCTATTGTCCAATCTATTAACGATGCTGAGTCCATGATGGCTGGTATGTTTGCTTTCCAGACGTTGGGTCTGAACTGGACTGACGCGTCCTCATGACTGACAGTTATATGGAAGTCGAAAGTTAAAGCTGCGTGGTCACTTTTACCTAAGGGTGGCATATGTTGGAGGTTCGCAACATCATCCTCATAGTGAGTCAGTATAAGATCTAATAAGGATGATTCAGTGTCCGGATCGTACCTTGTCGCTTCTTTCACATGTTGTACTAGAGCACATGTGATAATCCCATCAACTAGTTCCTGCTCGAAAGAATTCTCCGACGATTTAATTCGCAGATTTTCCCAGTCTACCATAGGTGCGTTAAAGTCCCCTAGGATTAGACATCGACCACTTTGGGACCAAGTATTGAGACTGCTTAATAGGATCTCATTTGCCTCACAGCTTGGACTGCGATAGACCAAACCAATCAGCAGCTCTTGTCCCTTGCATTTTAGGCGAAGACTAACTAATTCACACGTCCCACTCTCATGAGATACACTGTCGACAATGGTAAATGGGATAGCATTCCTAATGAATAGAGCTACTCCCCCTCCTTTGCGCTTTTGTGTTCTGTCGGCCCTTACTAACGTAAAGCCCTCGAAATCAAGTTCTATACTATCTATAGCCTGTGTCAGCCAGGTTTCTGTTACTGCGATTATGTCTGGCTTTGTAGAGTCAATCTGTACACCTAGTTCCGATCGCTTATTAAGTAAGCTTCGTGCATTGGTGTAACAGATCCGAAGCCTGTTTAAGTGCCTTCGTGTTTCACCCAGAGTGGCTTCGGCATCATTCTCTGTCGAAGTCTTACAACCCGAAAATTTACAATTTTCAGGTCTTTTTCGCCAGCGTCTAACCTATGTTGTAGTTCTTTCTCGGCTTCCCGTCTTTTAACACGGTCTGCCAACGGTAGGTCCTTTCGAATAAAGACTCCTGAGCCCTTTAATTTGTGCCCATTTTGTAAAATTTGGTCACGTTCGTTCGAAGAGCCGAATACTACTTTAAGCAGTCTGGAATGATTTGGTTTCGAGTCCGTTAGACTCCCTAGTCTGTACACCTTTAGCAAGGTGACCCCGGTCATATTTTGAGGCATGAGTTGATTAAGCAGCTGCCTAATCAGTACAATGTCATGCTCAAAACGAGCTTTAGGTTCAGAGCTCTCGCTCTCCTTGATTCTATGAAAAATAGCTGATCTGTCGCTATGATCAGCTTTCGATTTTTCAACCACTTTTACGGGAGCAGGTTTCCCTTTTATATCCCTACTTCTCTTCCTCGCAACCTTTACCCATTCCTCAACGGTGCTGGTAGAAGCAATAACAGTTGCGTCAAACTCACTGTTGGGTTTTGGGGGGTTGCCGACGACCTGATGGGTCGTGTTATGTTTACCGTTTGAAACCGATCGAGCCTTGCGATTGCGGCTTTTAGGTGTTTCCTGTTGGATCCCATCTGGGAGACGGGGAACAGAAGACCCTACTTTTCTTGAGCTTTTGTCTAAGACAGGCCTCTTTAGAGACTGCTTTTCCTTCTTTGACAGGCTTGAGTCATCTACCACCGGACTAACCTTAGTTTCCTTCACGTTGATTTGCGTGTCGACAGATCGAGTGCTGCTTGATGCGTTCCGACTATGCTTGCTAAAGCACTTCTTTGCAGCATCAACCAGTGAGATGGCCTCGGTTAGCAAGCTGTTTGCATCCGAGCAGCACTGTTGACAAAGCCACAGACAACCCTTTTTACTGTACCGTTTGAAAGCAGCAGGCGTTAAGTTCGTGCAGACTTCGTGGTACCAGCCTTTGCACTCGTCGCACTGCATCCCGCTTTCAACAGGATAGCGACAACCGGGACGTTGACAACTACTTTTTTTACACTGTCCGGTCATTTAAGAGGGGTTCTTTTTTTAAACTGTGAGGATACTCAGAAACAAAAAAAACAGTTATCAATGACCAAAAGTGAAGAGCTGTAGATTGCTAGGACCAAAAGTACTAACAGATACAGTTGAATAAGAGGTACTCAAGAGTACCAACGACAAAACAGTAAAAACGATACTTTAGTCAAATTCTTTAACTGAAATAAATTCAATTAAAGTGAAAACAGTAGTCTTGATACGTAATAAACGATCAAAACAAACAAATTTACTCAGCGAGGAAAAATACCACTGTCCTTTTTAAATAGCGCGGTTCAATTAATGCTCCCTCTTTCAGCCCTCTTGAGATATGAAACGTGTGACTTCATCCTGCACAATCCTTAAAGCCTTGGATATCCCTAAGGGACATAAGGTTGCGATTTCTAAAAGCTCATACCTTCAATAGACCTATCCTTGACCATCAGTCGCACATTCGCAAAGCAACTTTCATGAAGCGCGCCAAATGTGGCACTGATTCAAACCATCTACATTCATATCTTATAAATTATCAACCCAGCTATGTAATTTATTACAGTGTATATTGTATCGTTTGTATCAATTTGATCTTGCCTGTAAACTGGCATGCCTCATGTAACAAACTGTTATTTGAGAATAAATTATTATTATTTTTATTATAATCTAGTAGTAGTTCCTTCAGAGCTGTACAAGGAATCGAAATGGGCTTTTCCGGTAAAGTCAGAGTTTTTAATAAGCTATATGCTTCTTTTCCAATAAATGTGAGGAAATGTGCCACAATATTAACATCCTCATCATCTTTCTTGTTCATAGCCCAAATTTCGAACCCCATCAAAGTAATCCTCAAAAGCATAGAAATCTGAATGTATGTCCAACCGTTCCATCGCGACGACAGTGTGATAATTAGAAGTATTTGAATTGTAGTATGAACTAAGAATTTCAGAAATAACGTAATCGGATCAAGAAGTACTAGATAACCACAAACGAATGTACTGGGTTTAGAATTCGAAATCAAGCATTCAAAAAGTACAAAGTTATCCTTAGTTCATTCAAACAAAACATCTTTTTACTTTTTGTAAATAGACTACCAATTGTAGCAAAATCATCCGTTTTACTCTTTGCCGATGACACAAAAATTTGAAGACCCATATGCAGCATGTCAGATAAAATTGTATTACGGGATGATTTCGACCCGTTGGTGGCATGGATGGACAGGTGGTCACTAGAGGTAAATCCTATAAGAGTGTGGTTATGCAATGAAATAACTATGATGTTTCGTATCACTACACAATATATGGATTCATGCAACCCATTGTAAGAAGTTATTAAGATTTAGGAGTTATACCTAGCAATGATCTTAAAACTACCATCACTGCAAGGCTGCTGCTGCAAAAAGTTATAGACTATTATGGTCTATTTGCATGTCTTTCCCGTGTTAAGATGAATAATTTTTTAGATTGTCATGCTAGACTTTCGTGCGACCACATTCAGAGTATGGGATTCAAGCAGCGAGTCCTTGTTTCAAGTATGAGTCGGATGTGGTGGAACTAGTCCAACGAGGAGGGACCGAAAATGGTAAAAGGTCTATCTCGCCTATCTTACGAAGAGACACTGAGACACCATAACTTATTTCCGTTATCTTACAGTAGAATATGGGGTGAACTAATATTGGTTTATCGTATGCTGAACAACGAAGTTGGTATTATTATGAGTCATCTTTTTTCCGTCAAAAACTGATCGTTTAGAGGACATTCGAAGAAACTTCGAAAACCGAGATGGAATCACCTATGTATGGAGTTTCCTTTTTCGTATCGAGTAGTGAATTACTGGAATTCTCTACCAGAACATGTAACATCAGCACCTTCTCTTGATATGTTCAAAACGCGATCGACCCTCAACAGTGTAAAAAAAAATGCAAGGATTAATATAGGTCGATAGAGCTCTTATCCTTATTACTGGAATCCGAAGACTTGTTTAGCACAAAATGAAGACTTTGTTTTTAGATTGAAGAACTGAGTGTTAATTGGTCCGAAACGCCTTTCAGGAAAATGCAAGAGCTAAACTCGGTGTATGCTTCAAGCAACCAATGCGTAAATGTTGATTTCACACGTCTGTAATTATGCAATTTAGTTTAAATGATTGTCATTAGTTCGCCAATTTGAACGTTTTCACTTTGAAGGTCGTTGCGTAACTCCAGTGAAATCAGTTTTCAAAGACATGCCTCGAGGTCGCAGTGTTAAACGAGGCTTCCGCCCATCTCATGCGTCGGTCCAAACAATGCTTGTTCCAAGCCATGCTGAATGTGCTGCCACAAATAAAGATGTAATTATTTTTGTTTTCTATTCAAGATCGCAGTGCTTTTCGTCTTCAGCAGATTCTTTAGCTGCATCTCTACGTTGTAATTTGATTTAATTTTTTACTTTTTGTGTGCATCTGGGTCTTATTGCTTTCTTAAAGGAGTAAGCGTTGTAGTTCATATGCATTGTAACACGAAGGGAATCTTTGAGGTTAACATGGCTTCATTTTTCCCAGATTTAGATGGTTTATTTTTTATTTGAAGTTTAAGCTTTATGGTTTTGATTGCTGTGAGGATTCGTCGCTACGTATCATTCATAGTTTGTTACTTAGGCTTACGAACTTGTACTTCGTATCGTAGTGAAACTATGAAGTGTGAAGTAAAATTATATATATATATATATATATATATATATATATATATATATATATATATATATATATATATATATATACGTGGATTGACGTACGTTGATTTAAGATCTGCAAGATAGGCCCAATAACTGTATGAATTTTCTGCACCACCTTTTACCTGTCCATGGCTGGTGTTGAATTAATTTCTTTCAAAACGTGTTTGCTTAAATTGCAGGAAGAGATGAACGAACTTGAAGAAACCAAAGGATCAAAATTGAATCTACCTAAATCTAGCCCCAGCAAAAAGTCAGATGAATGTGGAGTAGAGGTTTATGAAGACGATGACGAGCTTGAAGATTCTGAGTTCGAAAACAATACCACCGGGAGGCGTCTGGTCGAGGGTGATATCGATGTGGATGATGCTGAAAGTGAAAGTGCAGGGGATGAACCTGTTGAAGAAGAACCTGAAGATACTCTGACGCCTGCTGAGAAAGCCTCGCAAATTTGTCGCCTTCCTGCAAAAGAACTTTGTACAGAAGAAACTCAACTGTTCCCTTTTTTAGAAAGTTCTTCAAATTCTTTAAAGGAGTCATATATTGCTGTCCGAAACCTTGCCGTAAGTTTAACATGGAAATGCTTCCAATAAATTATTTCGCAAATAACGAGTCTTGGAATAGCCTCTGTTTTTTATCCTTTGAAACATTGAAAACATTTAAGATCGGACCATAATGGCAAAATTGCGTACATCATTATCTTGTTATGAAAATAAGTTTCATGTTCTCATTTTATTATCACAGAAAGTTTGATGCTTGAAAGCTTATCCCACTTTTCTCAAATACAAGTGGATTTATATATTTCGATCGATTCTTCTAGTAATTTTCCCAAATTGAGTTTAGCATAAACATAATCAGTTCTTTTCATATTTTTGTCTGATACTATTTGATTGTCTTTTCAAGAGTGGTTAATTATATATGTACGTTACAAAACCCTAACTTTCCAGTTTATTGTTTCGTTTTCATCCCTGACCATTGTAAACCTTTCAAACATTTGCCTTCTTAAAGAACTTCGGTGAGATGGATTTCCCTTATCAATTTGCCTATCATAATCCTTGGATTAGTGATACAACAATTCCTGTTTTTAGAAACTTAGTGAAAGTCACAATGGTGACGTGCATTTTAATTCTTTAGCGTAAAAATATCCAATCAGGTTTAAATATTCACTCTGCCTAATCTTAAAACGTGAACTAGTAGGCCATTTCCTATACTTTGGGAGCTATCTCTTTAAATGCTACATATCTGATGTGATTGCTCAAATATAAATGCTTAGAATGCGTCTAATCACGATGAATATATATAATATTCAAACCAACAGTGCGGTTATATTTCCTAACATATTGAAAGAACTGGGGTATCGGTATTCCATTGTTTATATTTACAATTGTTATGTGCCGGTATCATTTTTTCAATCGTTTTTATAATTAAATGTAAATCCTCCGTCATTACAAAATAGCCGGGGACCCAATTTCCTGAAGTCCAGATATACTTCAGGGGTATCATTTTCGTACATACCAGTCTGTTATTCAAGATTTTGACTATTAGAATTCGATCCTAGAAATCGCAAGGTCTGATTACTGAAGGTATTGTACACACTTATACCCTCCTCTTAGTTTAGTTGCACATTACAAACTTTCTCACAGCTATTATTACTGTTTCAAGTGCTATTGTGAATTGTTGGTGATTAAACCAATTCGTCACATGTTTATATCTTCGTAGCGTGGGATGTTTTTATTTCTTATCTTTAACACTAGGCTGTCAGGAATCGAGGTGGTGATCTGCAGTTATGCATCATAAATTTTGCTGCCTGGACAGCGTTCTAATAATATGATGTAGTATGTTTTTGTGGCTTGGAAGCTTTATTCGTCAAAGCGTTCTCTATTTAGCGTGTTAATTTGTATTTTGAATCACGTCTTGGTTATATCTTTATGTGAATGAAAAGACACCATAACTACGGTAACCTTCTGAGTAATTTCCTTGTTTACAATGCGTACTAAGTTTTACTCTTCTAAAGCCTAATAAGATTTCATATCTTATGTCCTGACTGGGAAATGACACCAAGTTTTCAAAATGATAACATAGTATAATGTTTTCTAGCTGGTAACTTCCGGTTCAGATTTTTTGAGATTTTTCTGTGGATTGGTATTTAGTCGTATATTGGAAATTAAATGATAATTATGTCTATGCTGGAAATTGTTTTGTACAATAAATTCTTTTGCAGTGTTTAATGTGGTCAGAAGACTCGTGTACACAGGTTACGCCCAATAGGCTGTTCATATACGTGATGAATAATATGTCAGTCGAGAATCTACGGGTGATGATCGATTCTGGTTTGACTGCTCCTTTACCAGTACACCAAGGATCCAACTCGTCTGCTTCTTCTGTTTGTGAGGAAAATACTTCTGGTGTCGGTCGTGTCAGACATAACAAAGAGCTTTCTCGATCTCTTCAACGCCATCTAACAAGTTTAACTCTTCCAAGTAATTACTCACCCTGGGGTACGCCTACTGCAAGAGCAAATTTGGAACGGATGACTTATTTAGTTGTTTTGTTCTTGGAAAGGTAAGAGATATCTTCTTTTTATCCTTTAAAACCCATTTTGTCTTTATTTATGCTCTTACCAGTAATTCCTTTAAACTATGTTTTCAGTTACTTCTCGACTCCTGATCATAGTTCATGTAGTAACTTTAAATTTTTCCCTGCATCTTACTCATACCTTATCTAACCTTGTTTCACGTCAATTAAATCCCCTGACTATATATAAATCTCGCGTACCGTACTAGCCATGCAAATTGGTCTATTGTTCACATCCGACTTAACTAGTGTGATATGTGACAAGATATTGTTCATGAGGCTACCAGGACAAAAATAAGTAATTATTTAACTTGACTTAACTCAAAAGTTTCAACAGTCCTGTTAGTGTACCGGCGATAGTCAGTCAGTGACAATGTAGAACCGGCGGTAAGTATCACATAATCTTTTAGTTGAACCACAAATGCACTAAATTTAAAATAACACTTATATAATCTAAGTTTGTTGCTAGCTAAAACCAAGCTTTAGGATGAAGTATTTTTTCTTACATAGGTGGTATAGAAGTATCATACAGCTTTTAGAAACTGCTTGAAAACATTAAAAAAATAGTCCTGCGTCAGAAAAATGGTAGACTGGTAGTTTACAAAATCAAATAGTATTTAAAAACCTATCCGATCACATTCCGCATTATGCTGAATGCCACTAAATTAACAATGTGATTTTTGGGTTTTACCTTCACATTGGTATGAATTTTAATTGATAAATAATATACAATAAATGTTCAACGTCCTCCTTTAGTTCTGTTAACCTAAAAGGCTTGTATTGTCTATTAGAGGAAAGTTGTTTTTTTTCGGAAAATTACTGGAAACTTCTGATTTTGTTATTAGTCTTCAAATGTGGATTTTTCAACATTCTTTGAAAACTTTGAACTCTTTGAAACATTCAAATTAGTACGATAAGAATAATCGTCATCTACGTATTCTTTCAAACAAACGCGTGAACTGAATTAGGGAAAAGTCTATTCAAAATACAAACTTATCCTCTTCAAGCTGTTCCCCCTTTGCGGCAAAAAACGTGTCCCACTTCCGTTTCCATTATTTCAAACGTCCCTGAAAGACTAAGGAAATCAGGCTATCTAGTTGTTTCGTCATTTGATGTTTCAACAAAATTGCATTCACAGACAATTATCTCTAATTCAGTTGACCAAAAGCCATCGTACAGCAAATCGACAATCGTTAAGCACAAGAGACCACAGATATTGGATGGTCATCCTGACCTCGTGTCATTGTCGTAGTCCTTACGGCTCTTACTAAACGTATCGGCTCAATCGAGAGGCTTTATTTCCTTTAATGTGTTGTCTCCACAAATGTTTCTTACCATTTTATAAACTTCTTGGATTATTCTCACGTTTCAAAGAAAAGTTTCATAGTCCACTTAGTGTATTTGCTGAAAGGGCTATGTATTTTCAACCGTGTGATAAAGATTGTACCATAGATTGCAGTCCGTAAAAATATAGTAATTTAATGGCATCTGCTAGCTTAATATAATATCATTTGTTTTGAGGAAATCGCTATTTTAATATGTATCTGAAAATGTTGGGGATTTTGAAGGATGTTTTTAAGATGATAATTAGAAAATAAGAATAACAATACATTTTATATTCCTAAATTGTATTAAATAAGTAATCATTGGTAAATAGGTCTTATAAGGTTTGATTAATGAGGAAATATTGTGAGCTGTTCTGTTATCGTTACTGGGATTACCAAAATACATGGTAATTTATGCTTCTTTGGAGGTTCTGATGACCTCTAGGGATATTAGTGGAAACAAAGATAAGACAAACCTATTACTACAAACAAGAAATATTTTTACGGAAGATCGATAAACCCTAAACTTCATAAAATAAGATATCTATGGCGAGTTTAAGGGCATATAAGTTAGACCATAGATTTAATTTCGAGCTAACTGATGCATTGTGATAATAATCATCAATGTTTGTCACTAAATGTGGAAAGTAACCATAAAAAATACCAATAGGTTAATTATATGATAAATGTCAAGTCGTTAACCTAATACATAACATGCCAGTGAAGACAAATTGATTAACTCAACTCACTTTTAATGATGATTTACCTTTTTTCATTGGTTTTTCGTCTAGATATGGATATATCAACTTTGGCATATTTAAAATAATATCTCCACCCTTAACACATGTGAGTTCATCTCGTACTGCTGATCCTGCTACCACTGCAACTTTTCTAGGATCGCCTATGGAAATATTAGACAAATCAGATGTCCAACTAACACCCAGAAGAGCTGCAGCTGAGAAAGCTCTAGCAGCAACGCGTCGTGCTAGCAATTCTCCTTCTGCCAGTGCATTACCAGTTAGTTCATCATCTACGTCACTGACAACTCCTCATTTTATTATAATTGGTGCTGGTATTTCTGGCCTAATTGCAGCAAGACAACTGACTTATTTTGGTGCCAAAGTTACTATTTTAGAATCTCGTGTATGTTTTAGTAACTACTTTCCCTGTTGTTTCTTTAAAAAATTACTATTCTTCAACGCGATCAGTTTTCTGTTGAATAAGTATATTTAATTTTAGTAAGGGTTCAATTCCTAGTGAGGTTGTTGCTACTCAGTCAGTCAGTTATCATCGAAGTAGAGTGTCGCAGATAAGTGTTAACATCAGTTGCTATATTCTGCTTTTTTAATGTTACTCTAAATGTCAATCTATGACAAATACAACCCATAGTTTAAAACGTACTCTTCAAAACCTCTTCATTAATGGTATTAATGATCCCAAGATATAATCTCTTTACGTAATTGATTTTTTTGCCACCCATTTTCTACATGTTAAAATTGATATCAATGGAATATACTTATTCCTTTTTATATGACATGTGATTACGTCAGTAGTCGTAACAAATTTCGAGGATTCAGTTTTACAATTAGATATTACTCTTAACGTAGCAATATTTCAAATTAATTACCACTTTTATTCTTCAGGATCGTGTTGGAGGTCGAATATGGACTTGTAGAAAAGGTGGATATCAAGCTGAACTTGGGGCCATGGTTGTCACAGGTTTATGTGAGTATACAACTCTACATATGTCAAATTTTGTTCTTGCTTAAGTTTGCTTTAATTCAGTGTTTATTTGTTCCCAATTTATAGAATCGTTGTCTATTCAGGATTGATTTTTCGTACATGCTGTATCATTCACTCTATATCTGTGGTGATAATAACTCAACAGTGGCAACGTCTCTGTATGCTACATCTAATGATGTCCGTTCGAATATCTGGGAGAATATGTTTCCATGATGTAACAGACACGACCCTGTAATGAATTTTAGCAAATATAAAATCAGATCCCGGTGGGCTTTCTGTAATCGCTGAATACCCGTTTTTCTTAGACGAACTGTAATATATTTGTTTGAAAACTCCAATGATCGTTTACATCAAACAGGATCAACAGATTTTTATAGACTGATGTCAAATTAAATTGCAACTAGTGAATTGATGGTCGATGCTACCAATAATTATCTAGTCTTTATGTAGATGTGATAGATATTTTTGAGTTAATCCAGTCTTGCTAAGGAACTCTTAGTTTGGGTTTTCTGTTCGTAGTCATATTGTGATGTATGCTACTTATGTTGACGTATAAGTAGTATGTAATGCTAACCAAAAGTGGTACACCTGTCAAAAGAGGATTGAGAAGATTGAACTGAAAAAAACTGAAAGAGAAACATAAAGGAATTGGAATAAAAACAGCATTGAAGGAATCATGAAGCATGTAAAGGACAACTGATGGAAGATGTGCAAATTATGTATTTGTGGTGTGGTTTTCATATTTTACGAAAGCATTGTGGTTTGGCATTAAATAATAAATTGATCTTCCCCATCCAAGCGTCCACCCACTACAATATTACTAATCAAATTTAGTTATATAATGGAAACATGGTCTGTAATTAATTGTATTTTATTCAGTGTAACATATATATCCAGAAACTGACATATTTCTTCAAAAAAAAATATTACCTGTTTGTTGGTTGGTAACTTTGTACAACTCCCTAAAAAACTCAGTGAATAAACAGATTTCATCAGTTAGTCACAAACACTAATACCTCAGTTTTTACCAATATCCATCATTCGAGTTATGTGATATGTGTTATCAATAAGCTAAGTATAACGGTCATCGTTAGTCGTAGAGGTTAAAACAGATTTTTACATAAACGACTAATCAATATTTAATTATAAGTTTTTAATTTAAAATTGTCTTCATTAAATTCGATTTAAACCATAAGTTATTTGATTTTCTGAACATTCGAAATTTAACCTAATTTCTAATAAGTTAATTTAGTTTACATCCCTTTTGAATTAGTATTCCGGTCGGTTTATCTGTTTCGTTCGATTTAAACAGCTTTATGTCAGTGTATAAACAATTTTGCGTATTCACTTCCATACTACTATCACTATTATTATTATTATTATTATTATTATTATTATTATTATTATTATCGATATAAAACATGACATATGGTGTAAACTAAGTTGATCGTCAAATGTTATTAGGAAAAGATTATATTTTATTCATTTATACCACTTAAACTGATCAAAATAACTCAGTAATCATCATGTAAAAATATATATTTACTTATACTTAAGTCATATTTCTTAATTTCTTTAAGCATTTTGAACCAAAGAGAAGTGCGGGTCCGAATCAACAGTTGAGTTGTTAATAGTTAAATCATCTAGCTACTAAGTCACTGCTGATTCACTTATTAATTAACATATATTTGTTAACACTTCATTACTAAGTTAATTAGAATAATTCTATAATTGTTTGATAGTTTGCATAGATACAAATAGAAAATTTTACTAAATGCAAATTTAATGAGTTACGGAAGTATTAATAATAATGATGATAATCTTTTTTTAGTGAGTATACCTAACAATTTTATCCTATTTTCCAAGAAAAGAAAATCCTCTTATCACTAGTTATACATTATCAACAAGAAAGTTTTTTTTTTCAAATCCTCATTAACCAAATGACATGAGCTTTGATTAGCCTTTCATTTGTTTTAGATTATCTACTACTAGTAATAATACCAACAATTATTTTGTCAGTTTAAATGTATTTCTCGTTTCTCTTTTAGCTGCAAATCCTGTAGCTATATTGGTACGTCAATTATCATTAAATTTGCTTCCAATCAATACCGATTGCTCGCTATATGACTCACAAGGTCATTTAATAAACCGTGATCTTGATGAACAAATTGAAGAAGAATTCAATCGTCTTCTAGGCACAGCTGCTTATGTATGCCATTCTAAAGGGTTAGATTCATTAGTTCTTGATTCGGGTGTTGAAATTCCTTTATCATTAGGTCAAGTTATTGAATTGTTAATTAAGTAAGTTGTGTGTCGGATAATTTGCTTATTATTATTGTTATTTTTAATGTCTGCTTAGTAATTAGCACTACATACTTGGAGTTGTTTTTGTATACATGAAATGCGTTATTGTTTTTCTTTTATTTAGATAAGTGAAATAGTTTAACTAGTTTTCATGTGTTCGTAAGTATACCGTACTTGGAGATTTCCCGGATAATCCCTTTCTGATAAAAAAAACAAGCAGATTGGAAGCGTTTTGTGAGATAAATAGTGTTAAATTTCCAGGATTACCATACTTTCCTGTATTTCTTCTGACATTAGTTGATTATAGTCCTGAAGTTAGCATGGTTATTTTCCTTGTTTTATTTCAATTCGCTTTAGGATGGAAACCATGCTAAACGTTTTTTTCTATGTGTACTATGTTTGCCTATCTAAATATGATGTGTATCCCGATGTTGAGCTAGTTGATGATTGGTGAGATTTTTCACTGTCGTTTGTTTCTATTTCGGCTTGAATTTTCCAGAAAAACAATTATTCCTAACAAATATTTGATTTTATTGACTTGTTTTTCGTGACACCGAATTGGTTTCTTCGTTAGATAAGATCCATGACTTGATATATATATATATATATATATATATATATATATATATATATATATATATATATAAGGCGAAAGATTTATCCGCAAATGAGGAGACACCAGAGTTATAGCCCCAAATGCCCTGGTACGGCCGAGAGTGGGGAGAGTCCGCTCACCCTCTCGAAATACTTTCACATGGCCACGCGTATAAAGCCTCTGCCAGGGAAGTCCTACTTACTGCCTTCTCGTGGCCGAGGTGTTGTTTACGAAAATGAGAGGACGAAAAGCGAATGTCCGGCGCTTTAACCGGATTCCATACCAATAGTGCACATGGGCTCCTGTATCCTGTGGGAACAAATGGAGTATGAACCAATTGTTGGTCACCGGCTATCATGGGACTGCATCTCCTTACGATGCTCCATCGCCTTGTGGATCAGGTCGAAGGCTCGGGGTGTGGCTCCCTAAGAAAACCACCTGCTTTGGTCTGAGCACCCGGGCAGTATCACAGCCCTCACATATATATATATATATATATATATATATATATATATATATATAAGATCAGGCAGCATTAGACAGATATTTCGTCTTAGTTTGAAGTTTATTAGTTTTCACCTACAATCTCACATAGAATGGGACATTCGACTTTCAGCTTTTCCGGTATACATATTATTCTTATTCCACTGAGTCGGATTTGTGCTATCAAAATGTAGCAGATAATATACACAATCGAAAAATTGAGTTGGGTAATGAAAATTGAAATTATATGGAGTTAATATAATAAGACAAATAGGTTTATAGTAGTTATATAATGAGCTACAGTTCAGAGATGGGGTACACATGATGCTGAAGTAGTGGGCAACTGATGTGATTGTGTTTCATATAAATAAACTCTGTAAGTATAACATCTTGCAACCATATTATAAATTGCTTCAAAGTATTTTCAGTGTGTAGTGTTTCGTTTTGTTCTTTCAAACAAGTTTGTACCAGTAGATAACTAAATGTTTGCTTAGATAACTTTGTTTGTAGTTATTTTGATCAACATATTGTTGATGTATTCATTGAGCATATTTTCGTCAAATTTTAAGAGCTTATCGAAATACAAATTTTTTATTCTCTTTGTAATAAGCTAGAACTTTTATTTATTATTATTTTTGATCGAGTGTTTGGATTATTTACTTGTGTGGTTCTCTAAATAGATCATGGTTCCGTTTTTTTTACAACAGTGTGTTTAGCTCCATTTCTTCTTAGTAAAGGCCTTAACTTTCAGAAATCTAGTCATTTATATACTAATAGATTGTATGATAAGGCAGTTTCGTAGTCTGTCAAATTAAAATTGACATTCTTAAATGGATTAACCAAAAAATAATTAAACTATTTTCTTCTTCATTTTTAAAATCCATCGTTTGAACTTTTACAGAGTTAATTTATTCGTACAATCTTAAATCCGATATTCCCGAAAATGTTTAATCTATAGTTATGGATTTTCATATGTAAATCAGCTGTGATTATAAGTGTATATATGCATATATGCACATATGCTTTATATTTGAAGTATACCTTTAAGTCACAGTGTATTGTCAATTTAATTTTACAAAATCCTTCTGCCTATTAAAATTTTCTGAAATGAAAACTGTTATCTGAAATAAAATACTATGATCCTTAAAGCAAAATTATCTCGACTAAATTAAAGGACATGGTCGGAACGTTTAATAGAAGTCATATTGAGAATATTATTAACATTTCATTTAAGTAATTAAGTACAATCAATTGACTTGAACTTATTTTAAATAAAATCTGGCTAGCATTTAACATTTATGATACTCGTCATTTGGATGTATTTACATCTTAGTGTTTATACTAACACTCATGCTCAAACCTAGTGGTGTTCTGTATTTTGTTCAGAAAGTGATACACATTATACATTTCAGTACTTTCGAGCTTAACTGTATTTTTAATATGTTGTCAATCAAGCATGGTATTCAAATTTATCTTCTCATTGTAAAAATTAAATAGTTGTTTTAAGGTTAGTCGAAGATAGGAATATAATACTTTAATACATGTCCAATATTAATGATAAATTCAGAACAAATTAAGTGTACTACATAAAAGTGAACTTTGACAGTTTTCATTTGATTATTTCTTCCACATTTTTTTTCTAATTTCGTATAATAATTTCTATTAATTAACATAACATTATTATTTTTTTCGTTAGGAACAATAATTATAATCCCATCATAGTTTATTTTTGAATATAATTCTCTTCATTGAATGAAATTTAGGTAGAGAATCATTGAAAAGTGTATCAATTAGCCGTTTAGTTCTAGTTTGACACCAGTAAGCATCACTATAATTGAAAGTAAAATAAATCACTATATTCTCATAAGGGTCAATATTCTTTAGCACTAGTACAAAATGATTTTTTTAATATTATAGCAGTTGAATGTTTTGACCTGTATTTAGAGTAAACAAACAGTTGATTGTACAACGATGTGCCACCTGTTACATTAGATAAGAGCTAGGCTACATCAAAAAATTAGTTGATGTTAAAAATGTTGACCATTTGATTCAACTTCATGATGACTTATTGGGTTCGATCTCGTCTATGTAGTTGTAGATTCATACACATCATTGAGAAGTCCCATACTTGGACAAACCATTTGTTCGATTCTCCCCAGTTTCCATTGGTTCCTTCCAAATATAATTGGATGTCAGTTCTTAATGAAAATTATATACGTCTGTACAAAACACACCTTGTTATATTCTTCTTTTTCTTCGTATTACATCTACTACAGTTTTCTTCATATGTTCAATGCCTCCTATTGTTGTCATAATAATAACTTGTTTTCTATTTTCTTAAGAAATTTCTATAATTCTTATCCACTTTTTTTAAAATTATAGATATCAAGAAAGGCATAAAATACAGTTGAAAATAACACATCGTAAATTGATCTCACAATTATTAGATCGTAAAAATTCTCTATTAGATCAGGTAAGTCAATAAAAAAGAAGGATGAGTGTATTACAACAAAGAATTGATTGTATCCCATGATATTGATATTATAATAATTTATTATTTTTGCACGAATTATTGAAGAGATAATAAATATTGGCTTTTCAAACTGACCATTCATTGATGTGAACGAGATCTTTCTGTCTCTTGTTTTTTTCTCTGATCATCTCTTCAAATGTAGATGGAATCTTGTAAATCAATGTAAAGAAATTTCGACTTACATTCAGACGATTATGTGTTCTTTAGCCGGACTTTTAATTTCATATCTGATTGCCGCTTTCGGAAGAACTTTTAGGGTAGGAAAGATGGCAAATTTCTTAATTTATTGTTCTGCTCACTGTAAAATTAATTAACTGATTAATTGAGCAAGTATATACATGCTCTTTCTCCCATTAGAAATTAAAGTCTATGTGAAAATTATGTTCAATTTCCTTTGTTTCTCATTGTAATCAGTGAAATGGTTGTCTAAAAATTTAAACAACCGTTTTTATAATTAAGAAATTGTAAGTCTGAATCCAACTCTACCTATTTTTGCTTAGACAGCTAATTAGCATCATCAGTCCCTATACAAAAATTATGAATTAAATATTTGAGTCCATACACTCGTACTCCTTAGATGACGTAAACCATATAATAACGATCGCTGCATTTAAAGTTTATACCTCTTATTTGAACTATGTATAACAATCGACTTTACTCCTTAAAAATTTGTATGTATTTCTCTGTTGAACTTGTCAATGCGACTTGTAATGGATGAAATTCATGTTTTTGATTCTAATTACTGCATATTTACAATTAAACGACCGATTTTAATAGCTTTCTTGTTCATTTGTATTTAATGAAGACAATACCTTTACCCTATTTCTCTGTGAATTTTTGTATACGTAGAACAAGTTTATGACCTATATGTTTTAAAAAAAATGATAATAAACATAGCACATCTAGGTAAAACTTTAGATAAAAATCACCATTGTTTTATATGATTATATAGGTTATTTTGATTTATTGCAGTATTTCTTAAGTTATACCAGTTAGTTTTCGATTGTCTGCATCGAAATTAGTGAAAGCGACTTGTTAATCAGTAAATAAATATCATATAGATGCTACTTCTTTTATTTAAATGTATATACAATTTCTATTGGTGTAAATATTGAAGTAGGCGTCAAAAATATAGCTTCGTGTAGTTCTCCGTCTTCGATTTAAAATTTCACTCGAATTCCTTTTTGTAAAAACTTAATAAAAACATTCTGTTTTTACTATTACACTATGACACTTATCACATAAATTATCGACCTCATATTGGAGTGTTTAATCGTTCCACGCCTTTTGGACGTAGAAGAATTTATGAAGTAAACATTTGAATGTAATTAGAGGGCTTAATGTATCGTTGTACCGACTTATAAAATGCCGATCTTTCGTTTTATTCTCATATGGTAAATTTTATAAATGAGGAGCTATCACCTAACAACAACTGAATTAACCTATACTTAGCTGTACTTAATGGGCGGGCTATGCTCCTCCAGAAGGAGTAACAAGAGTAAGTAATTAAGTATCTATAATTAATACCAATCCGACAATCTTTGGAAACGATCTATTTCTAGTTTCGCAATTTGAATCCTTAGTTTTGTGGGCCAAAATTTTTCTACGAGTCGATAATTCATATTTCCTACGACGACTTTCTCTATTCCCTCAATACGTTTTCTTGTCCTATTTATTCCAAGGTCGTTTGAGATTCTATATACAGACAACGTTTAAAATGAACTTATCCATTCCATCGGTAGTGAAAGTTCTCTTGAGAAAGACTAAGCTTTCTCTCTTACATTTGTTACGAGTTGTTGAAGTCTTACTGCTCTATATATCATCATATTACTTCATGCTAGTAAAATTCATGGACTTGATATTTAATCTCTCTGCTTTGTTGCACACAAGAAATGTCAGATCGGTTGGTAGATACATGTCTTTGGTTGACAATCACTGATTCATAAATTTGTAATTAAAATCTCAACTAATTAACGGATAGTTTACTTTGGTATTTGTGACCTTTACACCATATATACAGTCAAAATCCCTAACACAGCTAGCCTTTGGTTTGAATACTGATATGACAGGAAGAAAAGTCAAAAGTAGATTGATTTACTCATCCCGACGAGAATTATGAATGGTAACTTTTGATAATTATCTATGAACAAATATTATACGTTTATTCTTAATGTATAACTATTCAGTGGCTAGATTATGTATATCTATACTCCTCTCATAACAAGCTTTATTTGACCTATAAACTATTATCATACTACTTACGATTCTTGAGTTATGCCCAATCTTTCAATTGCAGTCTTCCACATTCATAGCCACTTTTGGTTAGATCTTGTACAAATCTTTATTTCTTTTCCATAGATGGTTATTGAACGTAAAAATATTGAAGCAGCTTATGAAAAGTGGAATTCAGCATCAAAAGCATTAAATAATCAATCGTCACCAATCCATCACTATACTCAACAGTCTAAAACACAAAATCCTACACAAAATAAATCTCGTGTACGCAACGATTCATCATCATGTTCACCTCGTTCCAGTAGTACTGAACTAGATGGAAAACTAGTCATTGAATCAGCTTCATTAAATGGATCACAAAAGTAATCAATAATTGATCATAATTTCTATTGATTCACAATTTTTGTTCTATACATGGCTTACTGGTTATTATTCATGAAATTCATTTCAAGATCACTTATGATTATGTTTACACATAGTTAATTTTATTGTTGACTTTTTTGCCACGTATTAAAAAGTTTTTGACTTTCATCCAGTCTATATATATGCAACTCAATAGATAAATATTTGCATAAAAGTAAATAGACGAAGTCTGTTTGTTCAATTAGAATTTTTTTGCGTATATTGTTCGTGTTAAATGAAGATGGATCTAGTACACTGTGAAATTTCTCATTCAGTACATCCGGTCGCGTACAACAGTCAAATATAAGACCGGTGACCTTTAGCGCTTCCTAATTTACAGTATTCAACTCAATTGTAAACCTACAGCGTATGGTAAATTACAAAACCTAATGAATTTCTCACAGCTGTGATATTCATACTACGAAGTTGAACGAAAAATTTATATTTAATTTATTGTAGCTATTAAAAAACGCAATATAGAAATATTATTAAGTGTTATGTTATTTAACAAGCTGCTACTCTGAGTCCCACCAAACAACTCATATAGCCCAACCCTACAGCTCAGGTTCATATTATCCTGGATTATTATTAAATCCAACTAATAACAGTTGAAAAAATGGATAAATTCGATAGTGAAGAAAGCAATAAAAAATACAGTTATTTACGCAGTGCCTTAAAGTGGCATTGTGATTCAGCCACTAGGAATGCAGTTTTAAGGGGTCGAGTCCAAGTTCCCACTAGCGCATCTAAAACTACCATTTCTAACCACACATTTATAAGTGCATAAAAATAATGGAAAGGCAACTACTATGGAAAAATCGAAATATCAATATTAATAATTTGATTTCATAGAAGCAGAATGGTTAATATTTAAAAGTAAATGTATTATGACAATTTGTTCTACATAACATATACCTTGGTGATTCCTCTAATCGTCTTTTTCCCATTTTCATAACGATTTCACCAGATCAGCTGATAACAATCCGATAAGATTATCCTACGCTACTGATCTATCTCAACGTCCTTCGTTACCAGTATTTAATGTTAGCGCTCAATTCGAAGTTCGCCAGTTACTTAGTCATTTACATGAAGCTTGGAAGAAATTTCAACCACTTCAAATTGCCCTATCTCAAGTCAATAAGCAATTAGATATATTACTTCAAGAACCACCGAAGTAAGTACATGGAACTATATATATGTTAAATGATTATAATATCTGGTAATTTTAGATTGTTTCCATTATTTGAAGCATTCTTAAAAGACTATTGAATTTAGGCTGTCATTTGATGTTTCAATAAAATTGCATTCACAGACAATTATCTCTAATTCATACGAATATTCATCAATATTAGAACGAATATTTTGACAAAAATAGGGCGCAGAATATAGAGACAAGTTTGTTGAACGGGACGCTGGAATTATTAAAATTTCAATCGCTGAGATTATTTCAAATATAATTTTCACAGATAATGTCTATCTTTAATTCACCATCTTTAATTGACCAAAAGCCATCGTACAGCAAATCGACAATCGTTAAGCACAAGAGACCACAGATATTGGATGGTCATCCTGACCTCGTGTCATTGTCGTAGTCCTTACGGCTCTTACTAAACGTATCGGCTCAATCGAGAGGCTTTATTTCCTTTAATGTGTTGTCTCCACAAATGTTTCTTACCATTTTATAAACTTCTTGGATTATTCTCACGTTTCAAAGAAAAGTTTCATAGTCCACTTAGTGTATTTGCTGAAAGGGCTATGTATTTTCAACCGTGTGATAAAGATTGTACCATAGATTGCAGTCCGTAAAAATATAGTAATTTAATGGCATCTGCTAGCTTAATATAATATCATTTGTTTTGAGGAAATCGCTATTTTAATATGTATCTGAAAATGTTGGGGATTTTGAAGGATGTTTTTAAGATGATAATTAGAAAATAAGAATAACAATACATTTTATATTCCTAAATTGTATTAAATAAGTAATCATTGGTAAATAGGTCTTATAAGGTTTGATTAATGAGGAAATATTGTGAGCTGTTCTGTTATCGTTACTGGGATTACCAAAATACATGGTAGTTCATGCTTTTGTTTTAAAGGAAACTTAAATAGCTCTGCTGGATTATTTATCAGGCAAGCTATCAATATAAACTTGTTTTACTTCACTACTGGTAAAATGAAAGAAAAACTTTTAATGTTACTTTTCATAAACTGGCTACAAGTAATAAACTTAATTTAATTATACATAATTGTAAAGGTTGGTAAAACCTCTGTAGATATCTATTTCGCATATATTCAGTGGGCTTCATTAGTCCTACAACTTTCATAGACAAGAATAATAACTATTATATAGATAACGTTCAGCTTTGATCAAAATATCCAACCGCTATTTTTAGGTTACAAATTGAAAATCTGCACAACACTCCCTTCATTAGTATAGATAGTTACATGATGTAACTGAATTAAGCAATATGAATTGACACATTATTGAACTTTGAAATAAAATTATTCAGATTTGTTGAACCTTGAAAATAATTTGATCAGTATAACCAATAATTATGTATATACATACATATATACGTATGTTGTGAAAGAGAACTCAGGTGGGGACAACCAATTTATTTTTTAATGTATATGCATATATATTCACTAAAATGACAAATCTGTACAATTCTGGCCATGTCATTTATGGTTTAATATTTTCATTAAAAAGTCCTCTAAAATATCTCAGGAAATACAATTATTATGTACAGACTGAAGAAACGTACTGATAGAATGCGGAAATCAATCTTTTTATTCATTTCAAACGTAAATCTTTAGAACCACAAGGATTTACTTTATAAATAGCATTATATCAACTTTTTTGCCTAGACTTAATAGTCACATGACAAATTTTGGTTTTCTTAAAAATTAATATATTTTGGAAATGTCCTACTGAAAAAAGTTACGTACTTAATTCCCATATTCCCCCAGCTTAGAAGAGGAATCACACACACAATAAAATTATCAATAAAGGGAACCTATTTTCGACTTTTGTAAGCTTAATTTAAGATACTTAACTGAAAGTTCAACACAGTAATTTTTTCCGAGTACATTTTTAATAGACAATCCATTTTAGTTTGACCAGCCCATATACAGCTAGTATAGCTCAAAAATTCATGTGTAAACTTGTATCCGATAAACTTTATTATTAAATATTTCTTAGTTTTATCATGCTTAATGTTTGTAAAGTGCTCGATTTTTAACTATTGAGTCACAGTCTTGAATACCACCTCCGCGTTTATCTATTTCGATTTGGTTAACTCCCCCAAGGTTGTATCACTGTTCATTATATACAAAATCATATGACTTAATGACAATAACCTATCTTCAATGTTACTTTGACCGATCGATTGACTGACTGAAATATCATAGGACTTTAGATAATCTGTCCATTTAAATTTTTATTATTTACAATAAAACAGTGAAATTAAAGAGAAACAGAACGATTAAAACATTATATGAAAACAACATTTGAAGTGTAATGGAAGAAAGCCAGTTTCTGTTATCTGTCACAGTTGGTATTTTTCTAATTCCCTTTGCACTGTTCACATTATTAGTTTTATTCCTTAGTTTGACCGGTATCAATCTTTACTATTGTCACTATTGTATATGTGTAAATGAATAGTGTGTGAATTTATTTCAATCATAGACTCGATCCGTTTTAGTATGGACAAGTTCAAACATCCTATCACTGATTTTCTCTGTTATTTCAATGAATTTCTCATTAACAATCTTTTTGGCTGTTCATACAATCCATGTTCTTTGTTCTGTCGCTTTTCTTTCATGTCCTTCAGAGATATGTATTTAACCAAAGAAGAACGTTCTATACTTGATTGGCATTTAGCTAATTTGGAATTTGCCAATGCCACAGAATTGCATAATTTATCATTACGTCATTGGGATCAAGATGATTTGTTTGAATTAAGCGGTGATCATTGCGTATTACAAGACGGTTACGGATCAGTAACTGATAATTTAGCACATTTTATTACATCCGGTCAGTCATTAACAGTTGGATTAAAACCTCGTGATAATCATCTTACATCTGTAATAACAACAACATCGTCATCAAATTCATCCACTTATAAACTTGGACCTGGTCATATTGAATTGAAAAGTACAGTTAAACGTATTTCTTACTCTAATACAGGTAAATTTTATATTCAAATTCGTATATTTTGTAAAATAGACCTGTCAGATTTTAAGTGATTATAAATTGTCATCCAAATGCTAACTATACATCGAGTGATTTTACGTCCTTACTTCATCAATAATAATGACGAAAAGAAGACTAGATAGTAGAGTTAAGGATGCTTATTTCATATTTATCAAATATCATTAACAGTTTGACCACAGATGCCTCAAAAATATTGCCAACATCTGCTGGGATCACCAGGTAAGTAATAGTGAGTTTAGACTCAGGGTATTAGGGAATGATGATAAATCAGTTGATGAGGTTGTGAATCTTCATCGACTGAGATGGTTGGGCCATGTGTTACGCATGCCTAAACACCGATTACCACGACGTGCAACGCTAACCAGTGTCGGGGATGGTTGGAAGGAAGTTAGGGGCGGCCAAACCAAAGAGTGACATCAGTGCTTGGAGTCACTAACTTCTAATCTGAGTCATGTCGGTGGATGTAGACTACTTGGTTGGGGTCCGCGTAACTATCGTAACCAATGGTTGGAGACTCTTGATGACATGGCTCAGAATCGATCACAATGGCAACAGTGTATACACTCTTTGTCTTCCCTTATACTATGAGATTAAAATTATTTCATATCTTTCTTACTACGAACTAATTCTTTCTATCTGCATTATATCCTTACTTAAAATCTTTTCTTTATATATTACACCATTGAGTTAACTGCTTCTATGAATCCCGTGTTCATCTTGCTGTACTAATGAGGTGTGGCAACTTGGACAGATGCATGTATGTGCCTGGTTCTACATTGTAACTGACTGACTGACAAGCTGAATATGCACAAGCAAACAAGAGAGTGCAGAGGAGCATTGGAGTCGAAAATCAGAAATACGTGAAGGACCTAGCAACGACATTGGTAAAAGTTGCAAGAGAAGGAATCATGAGACAACTATATGATAACGAAGAAACTGACAGGGAAATATAGTAAGACAGAGAGACCAGTTAAGGATACAGAAAGCAAGCCATTCACTGAGATTGAAGAATAAAGGAACAGATGGGTAGACCACTTTGAAGAACCCTTGAATAGGCCAGCCTCACCGGACATCGAAACAACACACACAGACCTTCCTATAGTTGTCATTTCACCAACCATCGAAGAAATCACCATGGCCATCAGATAAATCACGAGTGGGAAAGCAGCAGAACCTGACAACATATCAATCGAAGCACTAAAGTCAGACGTAGAAGCAACTGTCAAGATCCTCCACATTTTATTCAGGAAGACTTGGGAGGAAGGACAAGTGCCGACAAACTGGAAAGTAGTGTACCTCATCAAGATACCAAAGAAAAGAGATCTGAGCAATTGTCAGAAATACAGAGGCACCACACTGGTATTAGTACCAGGGAACGTTTGTTTTGTATTGTCGAACCAGATGAAAGATTCAGTAGGCGCTCAGCTTCGAGATTAACAGGCTGTGTTTCGTAAAGGTCGGTTGTGTACAGGCCGAATCGCGACACTAAGAATCATTGTTGAACAATCATTTGAATGAAACTCGTCACCATACATCAAATTCCTTGATTATGAGAAAGCGTTTGGCAGTATGGATAGGAGAACATTATGGAATCTTCTTCGACACTATAGTATAGTACACCATAGGGTATTCTTGCGATAGACTATACTGAAAATCCGTGCATAGAGGACATCTGATTGATGTATTCCAAGTGAAGACCGGTGTTAGAAAAGGCTGTTCACTCTTGCTCTTTCTCTTTCTTCTGGTGGTTGACTGAATTATAAAGACTTACAAATCTCAGGGAAAGTACAGAATGAAATGGACAGCTTGGATGCAGCTAGATGAATTAGACTTCGCAGATGATCTAGATCTTCTATCACACACACGAACAAATGCAGAGGAAGACAGACAGTGTAGCAGCATCATCTGCAACACTAAATCTCAACAGAAACAAGGTAGGAAGAAAGATTTTGAAATGCGACACAGAGAACACCAATCCAATCACATTTGATAGAGAAGCTCAGGAAGATGTGGAATCTTTCACATATCTAAGCAGCACCAACGACATACACGGAGGATCTGATTCAAATGTCAAGGCAGGAATTGGCAAAACAAGGGTAGTATTCTTTCATTTGAAGAATATGTGGAACTCAAAAAAATTGTCATCCAGCATCAAAGTCAGAATCTTACGACGGACGTCAAGACAGTTCAAATACATGGAGTCGAAGCTTGGAAAACTACTACAACCATCATCTAAAAAGCACAAGTATTTATAAACAACAACCTACTGTTGCAGAAAACAAACAAGCTTTCATCCGAGGGGAATTAGGAAAAGACACTGGGGGTTAGTAGGACACACATTGAGAAAATCAAAATGCATAAGGAGGAAAGCCCTAGCCTGGAGTCCTGAGGAAAAGAAGAAAAGAGGAAGACCGAAGACTATTGCGTCGGGAATCGGAAGCAGACAACAAAACAATGAATAGCAACTGGAAAGGGTTGCCCAGAACACAGTTAGATGTTGAATACTGGTGAGCGGCCTGTGTTTCTCCACGAGGAATAACAGGCGTAAGTAATTTTCTTGAAGAAATTCGAACGATATGAATTTAAAGAGCTAAGATATTCACAAATTTTATTTTAAATCTAATGTTGAAAAAAAATCATTTTTAAGTTGAGCTTGCTTAATGATTGAATAGTAAATGATTAAATTTTACATTACACAATGAATTTTCGGTCATGTATATGTTAGAGCATATATATATTACAGTACCGTATCCGTTAAAACAGTCATCTAACTCGTAGGTCTTGAGCTCAAACCCTGTTTCACCTATATCGGTTGGGACATCTGGATATTCCCACTAGCCTTTACACAAACAGTAATTCAAAACCGAGTACATGAATCTGTGTCTGATGAGTTACATCGTCATACAGTAAGCTTAACTTGATCAGTGTTGGTTGTCTGTGCTATAGCTGGATTGTTTTTAAATCTTACAATAAATAATATAATACGGTTTAATTGTTAAGCTTTCATTGTCATACTGGACAGCATAATGAGATAATAAATAAACCACCTTCGAATATTTTGATTGTGCCCGATAGTGGTATACGTAACGAGCGTTTCTTCATATTTGAAACTGGTCATCTGAATTTACCTGCACCTCAATGTTGATGTCCTCATTGAAGCTCACTTATGATATTTATTACTGAAAAATAAATTAACTCAGAGAATAAAAGATTACTCAAGATATGAATAGTTTTCACTTTTCTCATTCTGTCATGTTATACAACATATTTACGTATAATATATACATAAGGAAGATTTTTGGTGTATAATTTAATATCAAAATATCTTTTTCTTTTACAGGTGTTCAAGTGGATGTCCTTAATTCGGCATTTAGTCAAGATGATTTAATTGAATATGAAGCAGATGCTTTAATTTGTACTCTACCATTAGGTATCTTAAAAGAAATTATCCAACAAGATAATGAAACAACCATGCATCAATCACAAATTACAGCAAATGAATCATCTAACAATTGTCTTACAAAATTAGTTGTACCACGTTTTGAGCCACGTTTGCCTGATTGGAAAATTTCAGCTATTCAGCGTTTAGGATTTGGTGTATTGAATAAGGTAAGCATTACATATAATACAAAGATGTATACCGAGTGAAATATTGATATTTTTTAGGTTGTATTACTCATTTTGTAAATACAACCTTATGCAGTCAGTTTTAAATTACACTGAATACACGGGGCCTGAAGATATTAATCGGCTTCCCAAATCGAAACAGGAGCAAGGATCGAATATGCTACGAGTTTGTTGTTTGATTACCATTATCCTTTTAATATTTGTAAAGACGACAGAAACAGTGTTCGTGTTATTATCTCGATTTAGTGACTTCTAGTTTACTCTTCCTCTTCTTTACCTAGTGTTAGCTATCATTTTAGAACATCAGATCTTATTTAATATTTTTCTTGTCGAGAGATGTTGATCAACTGATCAATGAGTAAGTAAGCAACATTGTCTAACCATACTAGTCCTTTGGTACTGTTCAAATTCTATCAGCTACGCGGTCATTGTTAATAACTAGTTCCAATGACCTGATATCACGTTACCACTTTGTTTGATTTGGAGAATTCCTTTCTCCAATCAGCTAATATTTAAACCTCTTATTAGAAATACCTGTGTGTTGAGAACAATTATTAACTTTACTTCATCCATAAGGTTTCATGTTTGGAGCTTGCTCCAACTACATCCATTTTAAAGTGCTAATCCTTTCTTACATGAATGAAAACATGGATCTGTACTTATCAAATGAATTGCCTAAATATGTATTAGTTTGATTCTTTCATTTATTTACTCTTTATAAACTTTAGTTCTTTTTTGGAATATACAAACGATCGTTTTATAATGTATATTTTCATTGCTACTAATCCATTCATTAGTAAAATTTTATGAATAGATGTTGTCTCCTATAATTTTAAATACTGTTGAGTTATCGGCCTCTTTCTAGAGAAAAATAATATTCATATGATTGACTAAATTTCCGTGACTTTTTATTGTTAACTGTTGTTTTCACCGATTTGTGTTAGTTGGTTAGAAAGTCTAGTTTTTGATATATTTGTTCATTACTAAATTATTTATGTTATGTAACTTATTCAGGTATCAACATCTTAAGCTATTTCCATACAAGATGTAAAGAAGGCAATAGGCAGGAGAGTGTATTTGTTGTAAGAAGTTACAAAATATTTACTTAACACATATATGTAGTCGTTTAAAGATCCCCATCATATTAAAAGACTAATAATTTGAACCATGAATATTCTTTTCGATAAATTCTCTTCAGGTTTTACAATTACATATCCAAATTAATAATCCGAAGAATGGCCATGTTAAGGGATTATTAATTTGGATATATAATTTTAGAACCTGAAGAGAATTTATCGAAAAGAATATTCTTCGTCCAATTATTAGTCTTTTACATATACGTAGTCTTCAGTCGTCCATTGTCACTTTTCGGTGTATTCTGCCATCTGAACTGTTTACTCCTCTGGTTTCCAAGTACTCTGCCGATATCGTGCTGTCGACGCAGTGAAACTCTTCCCTCTGTTTGACAATTGCTGCATCAGATCCTGCTACACACTACTTACAAACATCCTTCTGAGTAGCGTCCGCTTCAAAGGTAGTAGTAATTTATTCAATTCAGTTCATGGTGCTACATGGTTTGAGTGACTTTACTGGATAGTTCGTTTTGCTGTTGGACCAATCGGCTTACACCGTTCCATCACTATCCCATTATAATTTTACATTAGTTGAAAATGTATGTACGGAGCTCAAAAGTTTGCTAAGTAATGATTAATCATAACCACATACTAAATATTGTCTTTTAATACTTCTTTGGCCCAATGAGACAAGGTACTGGGAGGATTCAACTGTATTTTTCTTTACCAATTTGTGTTGCTCAGTGAAGTGTTTGCTTTTTATCATTTTAATCTATTCAACCATAACATTACATCGTTCCGGTTGATAATGAACATTACGACGAACCCTGATTACTCTGTGTAAATTTTAACCATACAATTGATGTTATACAAAAATAGCTTTGTTTTGATGATTGGTTTATTAAAATTGTTCAGTGTGTGTTTGAAAATCATAATATAATTAGTAAACAAAGCAAATTTCAACCTTACAAAGGAAACCAACCTAGGTGTAGATTCGTTGTCCTGCTGGCAACTCTCGTTGAACATAAATTAAATGACCATATTCATGTAGTGTTAATCGTTATTATCTCTTTCGTTCTCTAGGTTGTACTTATATTTGAGAAGAGTTTTTGGGATCGTTCACACAATCTATTTGGACATGTGAATGAATCAACAAATTCGCGTGGTGAATTATTTTTATTCTGGTCAATTACTGATAAGCCTGTATTGATAGCATTAATTGCTGGTCGTGCTGCATGTGATCTAGAAAATGAGAAAACTTCACCTACACGACGTCTATCACCAGGATCTAAAGGTCAGAACTCATTAGTCAATAATTCTGCCACATCAACATCTCATCTATTAGGTCGTGGACTTAAAGAACCTATTATTATACGAGCTATGCAAGTTCTTCGTGGTATTTTCAGCCAAGAAGGTAGTACTAATAGTGTTAGTAACAATAATAATAACAGTAACATTAGTAATTGTAATGGTGGAATGCATAGTAATCAAGAAAAGAAGAAACTTATCATACCAAATGTAAGTTTAATTTATTGAAAATAAAAATGCAAGTGGTTTATTATTTTTTATCTTTTTCTCATGCAACTAGATCTCAGTATTATGATTTAAATATAAAAAACCAAATAAATGGCGTTCCAAATACTAGCAAGCTATTCAATATAATTCAAATAAGCAATGCTGGGGATAAACACTAATTTAATAAAGTATTTGTTATTCTGTTGATCTCACTTTGAACTAATGTTGGCTTATTAGTTGTCAAAATAAAATTATTTCAAAACTTCATATCTATTGTTAATTAGATCCGTAAAGACTACTAAATTTTGTTTAGTAGAGACTTAAAACCTTTTTTGTAGTTGTCTGCTATTTATTAGTTTTACTGAATAATTAGAACACATGTTACTTTTGTCCCCTGTTTTGAACAGATTAAATATGTGGATGTGTTTTGTTCAAAACATTCGACTGTTATATCAAAATTTCGGACAACTGTCATAGGTAATGATACAAAGAAGCTAGTCGTAGAACCTTGCGTTCAGACTACCTTTGGTGTGATTAGAAATGAGTTCATACAAAATTATTGTCAATTTTAACACAGTTTTATTAATGCCAGAAGTGTTGTGTTATCATAAAAAGAAATAAATTTTATCTTGCTCTGGAAGTCTGTGATTTCCAGTTATAATGAATACAATATTAAGAAATTATTTCTTATTCTAGTACGGAATCACTCATTCAACTGTATTCATTGTATATCATAACTACATTTCTTGCATCATTTTGGCTGTTTTGTATATCCTTGTCAAAAAACAATGATCGCTTATTGATTTTTTAATCATTTGGTGTTAATCCAACCGGATTAGATATATTTTCTTAAGTAATAATTCAACAGACGGGACAGTCTTATACGACAGATTTCTGCACACCACTTCTTTGTTTTGAATCAACCTACTACAATTAAATTGTTACCATATTTAATTATATATTCTAGCCAATTGATGCATATGTCACGCGATGGAGAACTGATCCATATTCACGTGGATCTTACTCATATGTTGCTGTTGGAGCCACAGGTGCTGATTATGATATTCTTGGTGAACCAGTTTATTACTCTAGTAGTTCCAGTGATGAAAAACAAACAACAAATCATGCATCTGAACAATCTCATGGAATTTATGATATTTCTATGCCAACTAATAATCCTCGTATATTTTTTGCTGGTGAACATACTTGCCGTTGTTATCCAGCTACTGTGCACGGTGCATTTTTAAGTGGTCTACGTGAAGCAGCTCGTGTAGCTAATCATTACTTTCCAGGTCAAACACCTGTACGTGCGTCAGGATTTAAATTAAATACTTCACAATCGACAAATCTACACTTCTAAATCATTCCATTGTTTATTTATTTCCCTTTCTCTAGTTTTGTCAGTGTCTTCTCGGAAAAAGCTGTATTTTCCCCTATACTTGTACTTTTTCGACTGACTGTAGATTAACTATCCCATAAATAATTATTTTCTACCTACTAGGTTTTATCCATCTTTATATTTATGTGTATTCATCCTTATGGAATATATTTTTTCCTGTAAAATATATTGATATACTACATTTGTGTGCAATCGTGTCATATTTTGCAGTTTATGTGTTGATATATTTGCCTAACCTCTATTCGTTTTGCGCATTACGTATGTTTGTATGGATCGAGTTTAGTTGTTTTGTATTATACGTGAAGTTTTGTCGTTTATTATTATTATTACTCTCTGAATATTTCTTGATTTCTTTTATTATGACTAATGCATTCATTACCCTGTTTTCATTTTGTAAACAAACTTGAGAAATTGTGAAATGCGATAAATGACAAATGCTTGTTATTCAGTGTTGTGTACAGTATTGTGTTGTCAAACTTACCACTGGTTTGTAAAAAGTTATATGCAGCCATGCTGATAATGAGTTGAAGCTTTATATATATTTGCATTATTTAATTGATAAATCAACGAACTCTTAGGGCTACTTATTTTGTATTGCATAATGATGTTATGCGAAGTAGTTTTGTCTTCACTTTAACACTAACCCTTTCTTTTTACTATGGATTATCAGCATGTAGTTTTTTTAAATATTTTTGTTCTCTGGCTTAAACTATTATCGTTATTGCACTAAGATTCGGTAGATATCAGGTGTTTCAATAGTAGACCCTAGATCAAAAACTCGCTACATCTATATCAATTTAGATAACCATGTTTCATCACTGGTCCTCACAAAGAAAATGTGGCTCAAAGTCGAGTGCATAAAACTGCAATTGACAAAGTAAATACATCTATTTCTAATTACTTACTGAAAGTGTTATATTATCATGTTTTGAAGCCATGGTTTGTAGCATCAACTGAAAAATCACTGGAAATCAAGAAGAATTGGTTATCTGTTTTTTTCAGTTCGAAATTGCTCAATAGTGCCCAATTACTAGTCATTTAACGTAAAAAGCTTAGTATTCGTGAGAGTAGGATACCATTCAGTCCCTGAGTGGGAATTCGGTAGCATCGTTTTTGTAGGGAGTTGTAATTCATTGTGTCAAGAGGAAGACTGGGTGCTTATGACAGGTTTATCATCAAGTTAGATCATGCATTTCTGAACGTTGAAGAATATTTTCTAGTTTCTCATGGTTCTTCAGCCTGTAATGAAACATATATTAAATACTCTGTTACGGCAACAATCAAAGTGGAGGTATCTCCTTTTCAATTATTAGTACATTTCAAGCTCAACAGAACATAAAGGTCAGTTTTTCTGTCCTGAAATTTATGCACAATGATGATGTCAAGTATCCATTACCCAGAAACTGGGAATTCACCTTTATCAATTAAATCTCTCTGCTTTAAGTCCTCGTGATACATTTACCTTTGACTTATTTTTGGTATCTTGGTGAAAACATTATGGATTTATTTGTCCTACCTCGAAATTACTAGCTATACTTATACTGGCTAGGTAAGAACAAAATGATTATCACTTGTAAGAGAATGACAGGTCTTTTAAGAATAATTTTGGTCTGGAACTTTTTTGAGAAAGCGAGAAAAACAGGATTTGGAATTTTAGGAGTAGTTTTAACCCATAATCACTGATAAGCTAATAAGGTCAAACTTCTGGGGAATCACTTCTCAACCTCAATTATGTCAGTAATGTTTGTGTTATGATTTGATAGTTATTTGTTTATTTGAACGATTGAAAAGTTTTTTTTAATAAGACGGGAACTTGATCAAATGAACGCCTAATTCACAATAACACTACAGCATTAATAATCCATACACGAATAAAAGAGAATGAGAATTTCAGAAGAGATTTACTATTCCCAAAAACGTCAAAGATTTGGAAAAACGGTTTTCTGTATACAGTATTGGCATTGAGATATCACAGGAGCGAAGGTAACTAACCAATGAATAGCAAATGTCACCATCGTGATAATATCAACCACAAATGATCAATGGATTACTTTCGTTCGAACTACAATTTATTAACCAAATGGAAAAAAGACATTTAGGACCTTAATAGTCTTGAAGTGATATGTAACACCAGTCAGAAATGGAAGGCCTGGCAACAGGAGGTTGAGAAGATAGAACTGAAGAAAATAAAGGAGTTGGGAGAATCGTGAATGATTTAAAGGACAATTAATGGAGGATTTACAAATGAAGTATATAATGTATGATTTTCACATTTTATGAAAGAACTCTAAGTTTGCATTCAATAATAAATTGGTCTTTCTCACCTAAGTTCTCGTTCACTACAACATAAGTTTGGTTTATACAGTTGTCTATAAATTTTGCTGGATATTCCTTCTTGCTAAGTAGACTAAGGTGCATATATTATTTAGATGGTTATTTTACTGTCGTCACACAGAAAATGAATTCAACTCAATAGGCCACGTTAATCAGGTATGAGACTGTGAACTAAGTATACTGCTAAGGTGGATTTGATTCATTGTTTATATTTTGTTTAAATATTGTATTCAATCTCATAGATTAGATATCTCGAATGCTTATTCAGTAAATATCTCTAACATGCGCAGAATTAAGTAAACCGATAGAAATAATCAGCAGTAATTTTTGTCAATTTCAATAATGACAGTATCATATCAATCTCGTCTTATCATTACATTTAGTAATATGAGTATGGCAAACATTTTTGTGGTCAAATTTACCAAATATCGTTTCGTTTTTATTTTAATGTGTAATTTACCTATTGACCAATACACATTCTAACTAAATACTATAAGGGTACCGTGTTCTCCACGATATATGAATGTCTTTAGTCCAACTCTATTCGGGTTTATGGGTGCTCGTTACTGGGAAACCATTCAAAAACGAGAAGAAACTACCATCCCCAACATTACCTAGTTGTCTTCAGTTGGCATCAACTTATCTAAAGGTTTAAATTATCTATTGCGTTAATGATCGTATGATTTGTTTGCGAGTTCACTTTGAACAAATGGGGAAGGAACCTATTTTTGTTCAGTTTTGACTGGGACATGATCTGAAATAGAAGTAGGGATTATGTATAATTTTGCTTCTACACCAAGCCAGATTCGGTGTAGGATCCTACGAAGGCTGTTTCTTGTTAATCCAAAGTTTTTTAGGTTCTTAATAAATAGTGTTCTCTACGAACTTATTAATAAAATGGATGCTAGCTAGCATTATCTTTGGGATTTAGTGTAAAAAAAATCTAATAGTAGCTATCTTGATCCTGACTTCGCAAGTCGTATAATATAACTACGTTGAACCATTAAACAACGATGGTAATGGAGGATGAACATTTTTAGAATTGCTTGCCATTTTGTCAGACCAGTCAATGAGGATGTAAGTAAGCTACTTATCATGACTGCTGCAAACTTACTAGCTAATGACAAGCTTGATTATTCCATGTACATATCATGATTTGGCTTGGTCAACTATGTATTTTGTAAAATCTTGATAATGCACAAACCAATTATTTATTAGCGACCTATGTACTTGTTGGTTAAATTCAGTATTTTTAGTTTCAAGTGTGAATTGAAACTTCCGTCAACCGTAGCTTGAGCATAAAAAACAGAGATTCCAAGTAAGTCTGTTTGTTAATTGCACAATGATAGGTATATAGTCTTGTCAATTTCGTATTCAAGGTTTAAAACGTATTCAATTTCCTTCTATTTTCCCTCCATTCCTCTCTTTCTATCCTCAAGCCATGAATACAAATTATTATACACGCACTTGAAAGATGGCTTTCATTAGTTACCTATTCTACTGATATGAAACAATGGATGTGCAAGTGTATACCATTGGTACTTAGTCACACACTACATTGTCGCAGTCAAAAAAGCTTTCATCATTACTTGGAAATTGTTTGTTGGTGCAGTCCGATTAAGAGAATATATTTCAGCTTGTTTTTGTCCTTAGTAGCTAAGTTGTTCAACTTTAGTTTCCAAACTTGATTTTACTCAATAGGTCTTTTTTGTGGTGTTTTGGAATACTGAAATAAATGTACATCTGAGTTCAGCTAACGGCACATTTATAGTTGAACAGCTGTTCTTGTCTAAGCTGCCCCAATAGGTGAGATTACTTCTCGTTTCGTTCCAAAATAACACCGTATATGAACTGGCTGCATCTGTCGATCGGTTTCTGAAGACCACTAGATTCCTCAGCATTGAGGTTTGTTCTGTCAAAAAGGGCCTCCAACGCCACAGAATGCAATTACAGTTACTTGGTATACTTTCATTTGTTTTAGTATTTATTTTACTCTAAGACGCTCCAAACATCCCACGAAGGAGTCCATAACGAAAACGATCGACTTTTATACAAAGAGAAACAGATAACCTTACATCACTGACGTGATGGCAAACGTTTCCTATCTCGCTGACACTGGCACAGAATTTAGTCTTTCTCGCGAATGTTGATGATCTTCAACGAAAACTGGTCTTCAACTTGCAGGAGGCAGATGGAAAACCGACCACCACATGCAGTAAGAGATATATTTACCTTGACATGGATCTGAGCAAACCTGTTTGCTGGACCGTCATTGTTGCAGACGTTTCAATGCTAGTCATTGGTATGAACCTACTACAACGTCATAGTCTTGACTCAAAGATTTACCGAAGATGTTGCTATACAAACACCACTAAAGGTTATCTGTTTCTCTTTGTATAAAAGTCGATCGTTTTCGTTATGGACTCCTTCGTGGGATGTTTGGAGCGTCTTAGAGTAAAAGAAATACTAAAACAAATGAAAGTATACCAAGTAACTGTAATTGCATTCTGTGGCGTTGGAGGCCCTTTTTGACAGAACAAACCTCAATGCTGAGGAATCTAGTGGTCTTCAGAAACCGATCGACAGATGCAGCCAGTTCATATACGGTGTTATTTTGGAACGAAACGAGAAGTAATCTCACCTATTGGGGCAGCTTAGACAAGAACAGCTGTTCAACTATAAATGTGCCGTTAGCTGAACTCAGATGTACATTTATTTCAGTATTCCAAAACACCACAAAAAAGACCTATTGAGTAAAATCAAGTTTGGAAACTAAAGTTGAACAACTTAGCTACTAAGGACAAAAACAAGCTGAAATATATTCTCTTAATCGGACTGCACCAACAAACAATTTCCAAGTAATGATGAAAGCTTTTTTGACTGCGACAATGTAGTGTGTGACTAAGTACCAATGGTATACACTTGCACATCCATTGTTTCATATCAGTAGAATAGGTAACTAATGAAAGCCATCTTTCAAGTGCGTGTATAATAATTTGTATTCATGGCTTGAGGATAGAAAGAGAGGAATGGAGGGAAAATAGAAGGAAATTGAATACGTTTTAAACCTTGAATACGAAATTGACAAGACTATATACCTATCATTGTGCAATTAACAAACAGACTTACTTGGAATCTCTGTTTTTTATGCTCAAGCTACGGTTGACGGAAGTTTCAATTCACACTTGAAACTAAAAATACTGAATTTAACCAACAAGTACATAGGTCGCTAATAAATAATTGGTTTGTGCATTATCAAGATTTTACAAAATACATAGTTGACCAAGCCAAATCATGATATGTACATGGAATAATCAAGCTTGTCATTAGCTAGTAAGTTTGCAGCAGTCATGATAAGTAGCTTACTTACATCCTCATTGACTGGTCTGACAAAATGGCAAGCAATTCTAAAAATGTTCATCCTCCATTACCATCGTTGTTTAATGGTTCAACGTAGTTATATTATACGACTTGCGAAGTCAGGATCAAGATAGCTACTATTAGATTTT